TGATGCTAGTTAGATTAATAATGGTTTTTCATATTTCCATAAAAAAAAACCTTGTCTAATTATTTGTTAATCCTAGTAAGAAACCATATACAAGTGACTCTTGACATAAGAAACCATCGATATAAGAACGACTAATTAAACTCTCAATATAAGAAAGTCAAGCCAAAACCAATCAGTGTATAATTAATCCACTCGATATAGAAAGTTATTAAACTCTCGATATAAGAAAGATTTGTAAAATTTTTACTATGGACCCGACTACCTTCTTTCTTATGCCGAGATTTACTTGTATATATATAGTAAGAAAAATTTTCTCTTGCCAACCTATAATCTTATTAATTTTACTCTAGATCTAGATGTATGATTTTTGCTGATTCGTTAGCGATTTGTCATATGACCGATTGCATGATCATTTTTATTTTCAGATTTTCTGATAACTTAATTTTCGCGATTATCATCTATCGCTAAAAAAAAAAAAAAAAAATGGGCAAAGCCCAACGAAAAAAGAAAGAAAAATCAATGAAGTCAAATCCGATAATTGATGAGTCTATCTCTACGAATTCGGAGGAGAATGATACTTTAAAGCTGCAAAATATTCTAGAAAGTGGCGATACCTTACCCGTAATAAAGCAGGTTTGCTTTTCGACCCTTTTCCGTGAAATTTTGCTTTCACCAATTCGCTGTTTGCCCCTTTTCAAAACGCCCAGGATATGTCAATTTTTCTTAGCAGACCTTTACAATAGTTATATTCACCTGACGCTAAAGAGCGTGCGTGGGCTTCAAGTTGTTCTTCAAACCTCATACTGGGTGACAAAAAAATTCGCCGTCTACTACTATCTCAAAATCTTATTAGTGCTCTCATTGAGCGATTGACCGATGATTACGAAATAACACAAGAAGCTCTTGGCACATTAAGGTAATGCACGTGCCGTACTGTTAACTGTCAAATAGCATTCTCACGTGACTATTGTAGAAACCTTACGGTCGTTGGTGAGCATGAGATCTGTGTCGAAATGTATAGAAAAGATATACTCACTCCACTGATGGCATTAGTTCCAAAGGTAAAAGGATTTCTGAATTTTGGATTTAACCAAATTTCGGAAATTAAACAACTTTCAATTTATCTAGGTTTCTGAAATTATCGATAATATTCTTAGAGGAGTTCCTGCTGAATCAGATTCAATTGCAGATGCGAGAAAAACTATATGGAAATTTGCGGAAAATATTATCTGTATAATTTGGGCATTAAGGTATGATTTGTTACAAAATAAAATTATTATTAAATT